TTTCTGCAAATAACTTATAAATTTAACTCTTCTGCTGCTAAAGTCATTTCGCTCATTTCGCACTGATCTCTCTACGTGGAGTTAAGATCTGGTGTTCTAGCCTCCTTTATCTAAACCAAAGAAAAAGGGTCTTTAAAGTGCTAAAATTCTCCACTAAGAAAGTCATTTGGCTCATTTCTCACTAATCTCTCTGCGTGGAGTTAAAGATCAGAGGTTCTAGCTCCCTTTATCTGAAAAAAAGGGTGTCTTCCTATGCCTAAGCCATCTGGATCGTTTCCCATTGTTCTATCTCACTAGAGATAAAGTTTAGGGGTTCCAGGTCCCTTTATCTGAGCAAAGAAAAGTGTCTTCAAATTGCAAATATTTTCCACCAAGAAAGTCATTTGGCTGATTTCTCACTGGTCTGTCTGTTGGGAGTTAAAGATCAGGGATTCTAGTCCCATTTATTTGAAAAAATGGTCTCTGAAGTATAAAAACTTTCCAACAAGAGGTCCTTTATTATCCTTAAAAAAATATAGTTTATCAACTTCGGGCATTATATGGACTTTTTGTTATAAATAAGTTAATTTCCATTACTGTCACAGGTTGGAAACAAAATGTTGGCAGGGGAAGTTTTCTGTTATCATAGAAAATATATTTGGAATTGTTGTTTTAACTTCCCTCTTCCATAGTTCAATTTCTACCTTGCAGTTTGAAAGTGTTGTTCCTACCTATTCAACTGTCTATAGAGGAACAAAAAAGTCATCCGGGCTTGGTTACTGCCTTTTTTCTTTCTTTAACTTTTCTTATTTTTTCCTCTCATTTGAAATATTAATTTGAGGCGTTTGGTGCATAAGTCATTTCAAGGTAGTAAATATTCTTAGTGTTTTATTGGTTTGTTCTTGATTTTAACTATGTGACAATGTATAACAGGTTGGTCATCTTGGGGACGCGTATCAGGAGTGGGTTCACCAACCTATTGTAAGCAAGGAAGGCCCTAGGTTTTTCGAGAGTGAATTTTGGGAGGTACGACTTGGTGCAGAATGGATTGATCCTAAATTTTCTAAAAACATTAGAAATTATATATCATTTGAATCATGAATTATTTTATTATGAGTATATTATCGTAATTTTTTAGTATCAGGATTTTATTTAATATTTTAGTTCTTTTAAGTTGTAAATTTCTCTTAAGACTTCTATAGTTATAATTAGATTGAGATTTTATGTTTAAGCATTATAAATACTCATGACGACTCACTTCCGATGGAAATCTATGATTGAAAATGAGGATTTTCTCAATATCTTGGTTACATATGCAACTAACTCTCAAGTGAGATGCTTAAGAACCTTTGGTATGAAATGTAGGTTACCATTGTCCTGAATGGTAAATTAACCTTAATTTGGCCTACATCATGGGTTTGTTATCTACATAAATTTCCAGTCATTTTTGAGGTAACTCATAGATGTGTGGAAGTTAAGTCTTAGGCATGAAATATTACCAACATGCAATTATTTATAATATAAAATGATGCATCGTTCAAGATTATATGTTCCTTATGTCTAGAAATGAAGGAAAGATTAAAGGTTAAAAATGGTTTTGCAATTTTGAGTAGAAATGAAGATTATATATTCCTTATGTCTAGAAATGAAGGAAGGATTAAAGGTTAAAAATGGTTTTGCAGTTTTGACTTGCTTTTGTTTGAAACAGTTCTTGACTCGCACTGTTTGGTGGGCAATTCCAGTCATTTGGCTGCCAGTTGTTTTCTATTTTATCTCATTGTCTGTGAAGATGGGCCATACTGTTCCAGAAATTGCCTTGATTGTGGCCTTTGGCATATTTGTGTGGACATTGCTGGAATACACTTTGCACCGTTTCCTTTTTCATATCAAAACAAAGAGTTACTGGTTAGTTATCTTGCTCTCTTTTCTTTTCCTTCTCAGAACAAAGCATAATGCACATGAACTACCACCCTATGTTTTTCCAGAAACCATCAATGTTTGGTTTTAGCATACTACTAAACTAATTTAACAGAAAACTTATTTCAGGGGAAACACCATGCATTATCTTCTTCATGGCTGCCATCATAAGCACCCTATGGATGGCCTTCGGCTTGTTTTTCCTCCTGCAGCAACAGCCGTTCTATTAGTACCAGTATGTATATTGCCTTCTCCTGGTAGCAGCAAGTAATTATTATGGTTAAAAGTAATTTGTGATTACCTTTCTTTTTTTCTCTCACATATTGTAGCATTTCATGAAACTTAAGACCTTGTAGTTTTGTGGTGACAAGTCTAGCTTGATATTATATCCTTACAGTCACTGGATTGCTAATTCGTTTTCTTTATATGCTCTTCAACTGATTACATGTGTCTTTGCAAAGCATGTTTACCTGTTGAGACAGAAAAAATTATATTAAACTTGTTGGTCCAGTGGTTATAGTATGCTTAATATTTTACTTAATAGTACTAGCAGACTGCATACATGTGTTTCATGTTTGTCTATGAAGAAAATCAATGTAAGCTAGAACACTAAATTCTATGAAATATTTATGTGCTTGTTTGCATGTTCTTTTGTGATCTGCGTGCTTCAGTGTTTATTTGATGGTGTGCATTAATTGAGTCTACAGTTCTTTTTCTTACACTCGTATCTCTACCAGTTCTGGAACTTGATTAAGGTTTTAGCCACTCCTTCCACTGCTCCTGCTTTATTTGGTGGTGGTTTGCTAGGCTATGTGATGTATGATGTCACTCATTACTACCTGCACCATGGTCAGCCCACAAAGGGAGTACCTAAATCTCTTAAGGTGAATGTCCTGCTACTAATTCATTTCTCTTGTCATTTCTTGCACATTATCTACCTTACCACCAATTTTTAGAAAGGGTTTTAAAACTCAAGATTCTTGCTGAGAACTACTAATATTTGCGCGTACAATGAATGAAACTGCAACAACATGGGCTTTTGCCCAGAATGGGTTGAATTTGCTTCTGCGGAAAAAGAAATGTACCTAGAATTTTGCTATTTGGAATTTGTCTACTATTTTTCAGAAAGAATGGATATTTTATTGACGGAACGGATTATTCTCTAAGCTTTGCTTGCCTTTTTTTTTTTTGGGCCCTGCAGAAATATCACTTAAATCATCACTTCCGGATTCAAAATATGGGCTTTGGAATCACTTCATCATTTTGGGACAGGGTCTTGGGTACACTTCCTCCCCAGAGTAAAGCTGAGAAGGGTACATAAATTTTATTGGTTGTGTTAGCTGAGAAGGGCTGGGTTTTCAAAATGCCTTTTTATTATTGTGCTCCCAAAAATATTCTTTTTTTATATTTCTTTCTCCTGTCTAGTTATTTCTCTCTAGTCCTCGGATTAACTCTAGATGGTTCTTCAAGAGTTAGCAGCATTTGATGGACCATGTCCCTCATGTGGTATCATTTGGGGGGGGAGGTTTGTATAAAATGGATGTAACATTCAATATTTTGTGGTTTCTTTCTCTTATTTATTAATTTTTCATTCCGTTCATACTTTTCATTGGTCATTTAAATTGTTGTTTGTTTATCTTTTCATGCCCCTTCATATCCAATTTATAAACTTACAGAGCTTGTTTATTAGGTTTTTTTTTTTTAAAAAAAAAATTTCATTGTTCTGTTATGGAAAATTGGAATTTTCATGTGGCAAGTATGAACTTCCGAAAATTACTATCCGAATGGAGAGGATATCTTTATTCACAACAACATCAGAATCTTTTTTTTTTTTTAAATTACAATTAGGAGAACAACTACCCCTTGATTACATTGTTTACATGAATAGTCTTGATCAAGACAGTAATGTAACTATCTCTTGTTTTTTTTGAAGAATCAGAAATTTATGAGATGGTTACTATATTACACTGTCACTGCAAACTTATTCAGATCTTAAATCTTCATAAGTATTTATATGGGTCCATTTAGCTATACTCTGAGCCATAAGTTAGCCATATAAGCAGTCTATTGGATGACAAGTCTGAAGAGACTTGAGTTTGAACAAAACTGATGGATTATCTGTGCACCAAGAAGATGAGCTTGTTTTGGAATAGAGCTGAGTTATAGTGAATAGCTGAAAAATATAGGCTCAACTTGTGAATTTGATTTAGATCTGCAAGAACAAAATCTCCTATGGCTCCGATTTGTTCTTCCTTTATACTATTGATAATCTCATACTTCATGGTCAAGATCACACCCTTCAAAAGAACTGAGTAGATAAATATATTGATCTAGTATATGTATAGTGCTGATCGATTGATAATGATACAATTTGCGAAATTTCATTGGCTAATGTAGAGTTGATTGATTTACGGTTCAAAAAAATCGAACAAAAGATATTGACTAACACATCAATGATTTACACCTTATTTAGATCGCATGTTATCATGCTACTCTATCAATTTATTATCGTGTTAGAATATTGTTTTATTATTTTACGAAAACTAACATGTCAGAACTAAATACAAATTACTTTATGTACGGTAACGAATTATAGGTGTGTCTTAGATAACAAATCGTAGACTCTTATAAAAAAATTAAAAATTATATATTAAATAAAACATCAAATTTTAGTAACAGTTTATGATGAAACACAAAAAAAAAAAAAAAAAAAAAAATTCTTGTTACGATTTAAGAGATATGTGGTGATAAAATATAGACTCTTGATAACACTTCATAATGAATTTGGTAACAAAAGATATATGTTTGGAAATATTTTATATCATATATGCCTTGGTAACTTTACATCATGTATATGGTAACAAAATATAAAGGTTTAGTAGTGTTTCATATTTAGTAAAATATAAACTCTTGATAACCTATAATAGTATACATGAACATAAAGACACAAAGAACTTTGATATTTCATGCCATATATGCTTACAAAACATCAATTCTTAGGTGAAATTTCATAAAACGCATAGTAAATAATATATATGGTAACAAAAAATAGACTCCTAATAACAAGTGAAAACACATATAGCAGTAAATCGATACTTTGACAACATTTATAAAATACTTGATAAAAAATATAAACCCTTGGTGCTATTTGATAAAATATATGATAACACAGAATATACAAGTCTACAAACACTGTTATAGTTGCCATTTACAACGATATGCTATCAAATGGTAACAATTGATACAGAGAATTAGAGAGGGTCGAGTTGATTTTCTTAAATAATTAGGAGGGGTTATCTACCCCTTTCTTCCCCCAAACAAAAACTTAGGGTACGAAAATATCAGTTGCTGAGAATTGGGATCAAATGAGTATTTATATATAGACAAATAAACAAGAAGCCAGCGACCGCGAGCCCCCTTTAGCCGGGAAACAGCTGAATGCACCGGTCCTCTGCCAACCCGTCCCCTAAAAACTATATTTTGTTAGACAACTGTTCTTTGCTCAATGAACCTTGATAATCTACCAAAAGAACAGTCTTATATTCTAACTAAAGATCCAAATCTTTTTCATGCACCTTTAAATTAAAAATAATCAGATGTTTGTCATGCAGCAGAATCCGAGCCTTCCCTGCTCTTCCACTCCCATAAAACGTTGTAACATTTGATGGAATTTTCCTTTTTCAGAAGACCATCATCCTGACATGATAATTTCCTTCTAAATACAGCAATCTGCGAAGCAAATCCAGGTTCGACATCAGCAGAGCCACCAACCCCACCGAATTCTACCAAGTAATTATGCTTTGTTGCTAGCTTAGTTGCCCAGCAACTAAACTGCTCCCTTGTCCACTCAAACTTGTGGTCATGATTCCGAAATTTGCATGACTGCAGTTGAGTATTCTCCTCTGGATCATCTTCTTGGTTTACTGTCATACTAGACCTCTGGAGTATCACATTGTATTCATAGTTTGGAGTGGAAATTATAAGAACCTTTGGCTGAAAATGACTCAGAACAACTTCACCAAACAGACAGGCCTGATCCTCCTCCATATGCTCGATCACCTATCATTTGTATAGAAAATGTTAGACGAAAACCCGAAGCAATTTGACAAAATAGGACTACACGCTCACCATCAGAAAAAGATACAATCAAAATAATTCCTAAATCCAACTAATATGACTGGAACAACCTATATTATTTAGAAACACATGAGACTACTAAGATTACATAAATAATATATAAATACCTTCTAATAGAAAAGACTATGCTTTGGTAACTCGGTATGGTAGTGAGGTGAGTAGGAGAAGGTGTAGGTTAGGGAATGATAAGATACTGACGGGTAAAATCCTAACATACCATATATGTTTAATGTTTGGGATGATTAAAGAAGGAAATGAATAATGTACCACAAGAAACATGTTACCTTCTTAATTCATTTCAATAGTTGGTAGTAGCAATAATGATAAGAGAGATGGTAGCGATGGTAGCAGGAGGTAGAGACAGTGTCAGTGACAGCAACAACCAAAATATCAGTGCTAACAGTGACAACAATAGAGGAGTACAGGTGGCAGCAGTAGGGACAATAGTAGCATTGATGACAATGTTGGTGGTAACTATAACAGAGGTGCAATTGAGGTGATGATTCCAATAGAGAGTGAAGGTTCTGGTAGTGGCAATAATGATGGGAACGGAGGTAGTCGAGGCCAGTGATGAAGTAAACAGAGGAGGTGGCACCGTGTGCAGCTGGAGTGTCT